CTTGTTCTTACGTAATTTAAGAGTTCACTCCACATCCTTGTAGCTTTAAAGGAAACGTTTTTTAATGTGTAAAACTAACGACGAGAGAAACACTATAAAACGTTTAATGGATGTTAGTAAAACGTTTGAGGATTTCGATCAATGTTTATATCATACGAGACGTCAATAAAACGTTTAGCTTCCAGGACGCAGTGAAACATTTGCAGGACGCGAATAGAACGTTTACAAGGCTTCAGTCAAAAGTAAATTAACTCGCAAACTTCAATTAAACATTTCCAACTCACAAGCGCCAGTAGAACGATTGGAGAGCGCCAGTTAACGTTAAAAACTCATAAACGTCAATGAAACGTTTGCAGGGCGTCAATAAAACGTTTATGACTTTCGGGTTGAGTGAGTATGAACACAAGGTGGAGTCTGCAGTGAAGGTTATGGTGCCAAGTGGTAGTACGTTATGGCACTTGAAAAGAAGGTTATGACTCCTCGTGTGTTGGCACTGTGGAGGGTGTGGCATTGTGAGGTTTACGGAGGGGAGGTGTGACAGGTTTATGGAGGGGAGGTGTGGCACTGTGAGGTTTATGGAGGGGAGGTGTGGCACTGTGAGGTCTAGGGAGGGAAGGTGTGGCACTGTGAGGTCTAGGGAGGTGGAGGTGTGGCACTGTGAGGTCTAGGGAGGTGGAAGTGTGGCACTGTGAGAGGACCTGTGACACTCTTAAGGTTTAGGGAGTGGCGGAAGAGAAAGGGGGGGGGAGAAACCGGATTCAGGAAGTGTTGGCACTGTTATACGTCCGTAACGCCACCTGGGGTAGGAAGTGCCAAGAGATACCGGCACTCAATCTTGTCTTGGGGCCCCTGTATCTGGGTACGGCGGGCACAGTGCCAAGACCTGTTGACATATCTGGCGTCACCTGGTCGATGGTCTGGGGGGCACTGTATTGTCAGGTTCTAGTGCGGCACTGTGCAATGTGGTCGTAGGGAGAGGTGGCACTGTACTGTCTGACATCACCTGAACTAGAGGCACAAGGAAGGAGGGGTGGTGGTGAGAGGTGGTAGCCAGGTGAGGAGAGAGAGATGTACCTGTTATTAATTATCCTATGGTAAGACACACGCCCACACCTGCCCACACACCCACCTACCCCCTCCACCTACTCCTCCACCTACCCACCCCTTAGATTTCCCACAATGATAAGACCTATTCCACAATGGATCACCCCCGCCTCCCCTATTTATTTTTTATGACATATTTGTAAACCCTGACTAACACATCAGAGAAATAGGCTGAACAATACGTACTTTGCTTTTTGGGCTCGACCTTAAATTAACACAATGGCCTTGAAGATAGTGCCAAAGTCTTGTGAGGAGACCTTCCACTTCGTGTTAATTTTTTTCTCGTTAGTTTTGGGTTAAATTTACACTATTAACATTCCTGGGGATTTGTTCATCTGTTCACCTGGTTACAATCAGGGTGAACAATGGCAAGTGTAGTGAAGAACAATAACAACTGACAGGTAATAAAAACTGACAGGTGAAAGCTGTATCTAATGAGTCTTGAAATCTCAGCGTGGGGGGTAAGAGAAGCTGACGGGGAACTGACAGCGGCTGTGACAAGGGAGAGTCTGACTGACAGTGTCCTGAGAGGGAGGGAGGTGTCTGTGCGTAAGGTGTTGTATGGGCTACGTAGCTCTAAAAGTGGTGTCAGTTGTGAGGCAGGAAACTCGAGGATTCAGGACAGTCTAAACGAGTCGAGTTTTAACACCAAGGTTTAATGGATCAGGGCTTAACGACTGAAGGTTTAGCAACTCAGGGTTTAATAGCTCGAGTTTTAACAGGTATTGGTTTAACGAGTCAAGGTTTAACGGCTCAAGGTTTAACGGCTCAGGGTTTAACGGCTCAGGGTTTAACATCCTAGCTAAGCGGGAAGCAATATAGATATGATTGGTTGAGAATCTCGCTGTTGTAAGCTGGATATAATAACTGGAAATTCCCTCCTACTCGACATTTCCCAGAGAGACGCTATCGAGTGGTGGATTTTATATTTATTCAATATTTACCTTAATATACAATTTTTTAAGGCTGTTTTATTAACTAAATCATCATCTTTAAATTACCAGTTTTTAAATTAATTCTTGATTTTTGGAGGGAATGTTGAAGTTTTTATTTACGTGTGAATGTTGTGTATTAGATCTTATCCACCACAGACGCATTTTGTTTTTACCCCAGGATAGACAACTCTTATGGCTCCCTTCCCCGTCTACTATTCCTGACAGACGCCATATTGATTCTCATTTCTTTCCCTAGGATGATGGAATAGCAAGATCAAATGATAGCCTCACATGCTAGCGTTACTATCGTCGTGTGTGTGTGTGTGTGTATTGATCAACTCGTACTTAGGTTGGACACACACAGCCGGAAGTTGCATGTAGGTATTGATGGTTGCGGTGGCGGAGTTGTTAATAGTACGCTGGTTCCAGGTTTGACTGACTGTGTGTGTGTGTGTGTGTGTGTCTCATTTGGGGACACCAGACAGACATACACACGCACGCACACAGAGTACCAAAATCAATACCCTGACCTGGATTTACGGGCGGGGTACTAAACAGGTAACGCAATTTAAAACAAACACATTGGACCTCTTAACACACACACACACAAACACACTGGACCTCTTAACACACACACACACACACACTGGACCTCTTAACACACACACACACACACACACACATTGGACCTCTTAACATAACATACCATTTAGTCAACGAACAGGTAGAGGAACTTAGCAATGGTTAAAACGCCGAGTAACACACAGGTAGGAGGGAGGTGGGTGAGTGGACAGCATGAGGAGATAGTGTGTAAGAACTCTCTCTCTCTCTCTCTCTCGTCAACAGAGCATGAAGGGGCGGGGGGGGTCGTTACCGGGTGCTACCAACAACATTGTTTTAAACTCTTCAGAAAAAAAAAAAACTTGGTCGTTCATTTATTTCCTAACTTTCACCAACTGTCTTTACACCTATAACAACGACAACAACAACAAAAAAGTAGGAATATATTGTTATTGTTATTGTTTCGGTGTACAGGGTGGTGCAGAAGTCGCTTTACCCGGAACAAGTGTCGTATAGTAGTTATCGGTAAAGCTATTTATGTGTCACCCAGTATATGTGTACACTAGTTATTTTGGCGGCCATCTTTAAAAATCACCGTCCATATTTTTTTTTCAAATTTCTACGTTTATTTATTTATTTATACATTGTTTTGTGTTATATTCCAATTCTGTTTGTCTGTTTGTTTGTTTGTTTGTTTGTTTGTTTGTTTACGTGTATGATGGAGTGTTGGGTGTGAGTTGGTGATGGAAGGTAATGATAAGTTGATCACACACACACACACACACAGGTTATTGGAGGTGAATCTTGGCCCTGGTGGGGGGGTGAGGGATGACTCTTCCCTTCTCCTCCCCCCCCCCCGCCCCTCTACCACTCATTCATCCCCTCTTTAAACGCCTCAGAGACCCTACACTCATTTTCTTAAGTGCCCTCCTCCTCTTCACCCTCCTCCTCCTCCCCCTTTCCTTCTCCCCACCACCCATTTCTTTCCCCTCTTCCTCCTGTTCCTCCTCAACCATTTCTTCCCCTTCTTCCACTTCCCCCTCTCCTTTCTCTCCTCCTTCCTCCTCCCCATCCTCCCCATCCTCTTCCTACTCCCTCCTCCTCCTCCTCCTGCTCTTACCACTCCTCCTCCAATAAACAAGCACACCCTCCAATGGCTTCTCTCTACAAGTTAACCTTTAACATAACACAACAAAAGTTAATTCCCTCTCCTTTAAGATCCAAGAGTCGTGTTCATCTTCTGCTTCACCAAGAACACGCTCTTGTTATAAAGCTCTTGATATGTGCTCTTGGAATGCTTTTTGGGGATTATTTTGTTATACTCTTTTGGAATGTGATTTTGGAATGTGCTCTTGGAATGTAATTTTGGGAATGTGCCCTTGGAATGTGATTTTGGAATGCGTTCTTGAAATGTGCTGGAATACACTTGGAATATGCTCTTGGAACACTCTTAGAATACCCTCTCAAAATACACTCCTGGAATACGCTCTTGGAATACGCTCTTGAAATATGCTCTTGGAATATGCTCTTGGAATGCACTCTTGGAATATGCAAATGTTGTATTCAATACTCTCTCTATTTTCACCATTATAAGCTTCATTAATTATCAAGGATTATTAGGAGTCATTAACACACCTAACGCGTCCAATTCGTGTTTCGTACTCTTGAACAGGTGTACTTAATTACATCCACAGGTAATTGTTTATTTAGGTGAAGGGGGCAGTAGTTTGGTTTTATACTGTGACGCTTTCATGGGATTGTCTTGTTTACATAGTGACTCGTGTGTAAACAATGGGGACCACGTGAAGATTAGGCACGCCGGCCTTTTTCACCTGATGATTAAATGCTCTAACCTAACCTAACCAAAATTAACCTAACTCCCCCAAAAAAGACGATAGTTATTACCACAAGTTGTCTTGGGAATTTTGTACCGCACAGGTGTAAAAGTTTAATTAACATACGTGTATCGACTCCCCTCTTGACGCTGACACCTACTGATGACCTACCTGACGGGGGTCTAGGTGTGTACGGAATTAATTAAGTGATATACAGGTGAAAGTAATGATACATTCGCAGGTAGTCACCAGAGGACCCACCTAACGGGGGTATATGTAATAATATGAAGGTAGGGAACACCACTACACCCCCTACCTGAGAGAAGTTCTGGTACGCACAGAATTAATTCACACTCATGTACACCTGTATGTATTAACAGTGACGTACATGTGTATGTTGTAATAGACAGGTAGAGGCAGCCACAACACGTACCTGATGACATACAGGATTGTCATGCACATGTGTACGTACGGATATGCACGGACACACAAGCACAGAATTAGATAACAAATGACGTCCAGGTATGTTGTAGATATAACTAACCTAACCTGCCAGTAGACCTACCTGACGGAAGTTCTGGGTGCAGGAGAGGAAGAGGATGTAGGAGTTGAAGAAGACGCTGGCCACTGTGGCGAGGACCAGGAGACCCGCCACCACCATCAGTGGCATACTACCCCTCCACCAGGCGGCGCTCACCACTCCTGCGCGGGTGGGTGGGCGGGCGGGCGGTCGACAGGACACGCCTACCTCCTCCTCCTCCTCCTCCTACTTAATATTACCACGACTAGTACTCACTGCCAGGCCATTTCTTGCCTCCCTCTCCCTCACACACACACACAGAATCACTGTTCTTGGAGTTACTTTTCCTCGGAATTACTGTCCTCGAATGTCACTGTCCCATGAGTCACTGCTGTAGCTTTTGGGGGAACTGTTTTAGGAGTCACTTTCCCATGAATCACTATTCTTGGGAGGCCACTGTCCTTGGATTTCACCTGACTGCCGCCTTAGGAACTTCACTATCCTTAGGTCACTGCCCACCCGTAGTCACTGTTTCTCATAAGAGTTCTTCAGGCCGAGTTAGTCACTGCCCACTGAATCACTGTCTTCTTGAGTCACTGTCCACGGGAGTCACTGGGATAGTCATCTTTTTCTACACTGACTCGAGCCTAGTTAAAAAATTGAACGTGACTCACCAACTAATATTTGCGACTCAGCTCAATCTGACTCACCAGGTAAACCAGTTAAGTGTAGAGTCACTCGATTGACCACAACAACGTACACCACCTCTCTCTTTTTTCTCTCTATCTCTCTCTCTTAAAATTGACCCTCCAAGTACTGACCTACACCACTTGACCTGACTTAAACCCTGCTAGGAACTGACCTTAAAGTGACCTCGTGATTGGCCAGGTAACTTGATTATTGACCTCGTGATTGGCCAGGTAAATTGAAGCAAACCTCGTGATTGGCCAGGTAAATTGAAACAAACCACGTGATTGGCTAGATAATATGAAAGACCTATACACCTGTAATTTATTGTATATGTTCTTAGTGGACATAAACAAGTATCAGTAACTAGGTCAATGTGGAAGAGCTTTTGCCTTTCCATTATTACTGTCTCTCTCTCCTTCTCTTGATGTTAATATTTTCGTCTCTTCTCTGGGGTTCTCTCGTGGTCGCCATTATCCTGTAGAGAGATAAAAATAACATGTTAATTATTTTTTGTCGAATTTATTATCTCGGTTTTATTTCGTTTTGTCAAGCTTTTGTTTTCTTCAGTGTTTAATCTTTTGTTTTACTCATTATTTAATTTATCTTTTTTTTACCTCTATTGTACGAACACTTTTTTTTTTCCTGTAACAAAGACCATCCAGGTGTGTTTGTTTACATCATTAGTCTCCAACAGGTGTTACGTATCTCGGTTTTTCACAAAGTAACAGATGTTTTGTTTTTTGTATCTGACTATTTTAAAACTCGTATTATTTTTGTGTAGCTTGACGTATTGATCTGTCTGTATGTCTGTATCCTCCCGCCCGTCCGTCCGTTCAAGCTTACTCCCGTTCCAGTTAAGCTTATTTGCAGCCATCAGATCAATATCCCAACATGACGACAGCTTAAGTGGATACATCACTCGCCTTAGGTACCCACAGTCCATCCAGCTGAGAAAGTGTACCTGACGTTACAGTTGGGGGAATGACAATGATCGACTGCAGTGTCTAAGGGTGTAGTGAAGGTTTAGTTAGGTTATGTTATGGTTAGGTTATGTTATGGTTAGGTTATGTTATGGTTAGGTTATGGTTAGGTTAGGTTATGGTTAGGTTAGGTCATGTTATGGTTAGGTTATGGTTAGGTTAGGTTATGGTTAGGTTAGGTCATGTTATGGTTAGGTTATGGTTAGGTTAGGTTATGGTTAGGTTAGGTTATGGTTAGGTTAGGTTAGATTATGGTTAGGTTAGGTTATGTTATGGTTAGGTTGGGTTGGGTTGGGTTAAATAGACAGAGAGGAGCCATTCTTACGGTGAGCTGAATCTTATCTGCTAATACTATTAAATATTCACCTGTACCAGAGTCCTTCACAAGGTATAATCACCATGTTATTGATTTAACCCTGAGAGAGAGAGAGAGAGAGAGAGAGAGAGAGAGAGAGAGAGAGAGAGAGAGGATGAATTAGTGCTGGCTCCCTCCATTTTCCCTCCCTTCTCCCATCTTGCCCTTTTTCTTATGTCTTCCCTCCTCCTCCCCCTGCATTCTCCTTCCTCATCCCAACCCCCCCGCATCCTTCCCTTTCCTCATCCTTATCCTCCTTCCCCCTCTTCCTTATCCTCTTCCTCCTCCCTCCTCATCCTCTTTCCTCCGTCTCTCCCCCCCATCCTCCCCTCCTCCTCCACCACCACCACCAAAGACCTCCACATTGTCACACCTCCAGGAAGGAACAACATAAGGAAGTTCCCACACTGGATCAGGCGAGTGACAAGTTAAGGCCAGTCTGGTGTAACCCTTCGCCATGTTCACCTCACTGGCTTGACCTTCTTGGCTTGACCTCGCTGGTTAAGGTAGGTAAGATTAGCATTAGGGTGGTTAATCTTCAGGTCAAGTAAACTAGGGGTGTCTAATCTTCACGTGATACTTTTACGTTTTCAGTAACGAGAATATGTCCATTATTGTAAACCTTTGAGAATCGGAGTCAAAACCTTGGAACGTTGCGCTGTCAGATTGTCTTTTGTCGCCACTGTTTTTTTTTTGTGTTTTGTTTTGTTTTTCACCATTTTATAAGACCTTCTGTTGCATTTCAATCACATCAACTACTGAATTATTTACGGAATCACTTTGTACAGCTGCCAGACGTATAAATCACCTTCAGGATTTAGTTTTTTCTGTCCTTGTGGAGTTTTTGTTTCAGGATTCCTACACTGTCTAACTCAGCGACACGTTTAATCCTAGGACGAACAGAATATTTTGTTTTCATATCTATGTAAATAATATCCTATGCTCTTCGCTTTCATCTCTTATTTTTAACTACAAAGTAAACTTAATATGAATTTGTAAGAATAATTTAAATTTAATCAGTACCGAACGCTTGATGTGACTTGAGCGAGTTCGTGTTGTCGTTTATACTGGGAATAAAATTTACATGTTGGGCATTTTCCACTCAGAAATTACTATTTGGATATAATGAACCAACAGAAACAATTTTAATTAACCATTTGCATATTTATGAGGATATGTTAATAGTTTAATTGGTACAGAAAGATTGATATTTTTATTAATTCTTCTTGTCGAATATAAGTCTTTTATGGCGAGTGATTTTTCCCGCCCAAATCAGCCCACGTGAACAGAAGCCCGAGTTACTTACACACACACACACACACACACACTACCCTACCCTACCCTACCCTACCCCACCCTACCCCACCCCACCCTACCCCACCCAACCCCACCCCACCCCACCCTACCCTACCCCTTTAGAGATTAATGGCGGGAAACTCTTTTTAACTTTTAGACTTCAATATGCCATTCAGGAGACTTTTTAGTACCTTTTATATCACGCGATTCTACGGGACGCTTTTGTAGATCGACGAGAAAGAATGTGCTATTATCTACAAAAGTATCGTAGGTCAGCGGTCTTTCTTTCTTTCTTTCTCTCTCTCTCTCTCTTTCACTTAGACATTTATTATTGGTTAGTCTGGTTTATTATGGATTGTTTATCTCATAGGTACGTAGCCCCTGTGTTCCAATAATATTTTTACGGTGTTTTGGTTCGTGTGGTGAGAGTTAAGTTAATTATCTAATGTGTTTAACCTGAGCTATTGTTGTTATTATTATTATCGTTATTATTATTATTATCGTTATTATTATTATTATTATTATTATTATTATTATTATTATTATTATTGTTATTATTATTGTTATTATTATTATTATTATTATTATTATTATTATTATTATTATTATTATTATTATTTTGTTGCTATCATTGATGTAGGTTACACGATGTCAGCCCCCTACCATGAGTTACAGTGTCAGCCCTCCATAGTGAGTTACAGTGTCAGCCCCCCAGAGTGAGTTACAGTGTGTCAGCCCCCCCACAGTGAGGTACAGTGTGTCAGCCCCCACCGTGAGTTACACAGTGTTAGCCCCCTACCGTGAGTTAGTGTCAGCCCCACACCGTGAGTTCCAGAGTGTCAGCCCCCCACCGTGAGTTACAGAGTGTCAGCAGAGGCACTCCCGAGGAACATGACCTCTCGTGAAGACATTTTAAAAGGCAGCTTAAAGATGTCATTCTGCCGCCGTGAGTAAAGGCGAGGCCCTGCTCCAACGTTCTCCACCACCACACCTGAACGTTCTCCACCACCACACCTGAACGTTCTCCACCACCACACACCTGAATGATCTCCACCGCCACCACCACACACCTGAACATTCTCCACCACTATCATTACCAACCATCACCACCCACCACCACCATCACCACCCACCACCACCCACCTCATATTAAGTACTTTAGTGCTCATGGAATATCCTAGGGTAATTCTGAGGGCTTTATTTTGCATTTTCTTGAGCTTGTCAACGCCTTTCCTGTCACGAAGGACCAGGGCTGGTGCGTGGTAATCTATCAGTCACCACCACTCACCACCACCACCACCACCTGCCACCACCACCACCTACCACCTACCACTCACCACCACCACCACTCACCACCACCACTCCCACCACCACCACCACTCCCACCCACCTCACCACCACCTCCTCACCACTCACCACCACCACCACCACCCACCACCACCACTCACCATCACCACCACCACCACTACTCACCACCACCACCACACTCTCATTTGTACAGTATTCACGCTTGGTGTGACAGGAGACGAAAATGGATCTTTTAGACAGTGACAAATGAGACAAGTTTTCCTGTACACCTGCTACTGTCCAACCACCCACCACCCACCCCCACCCATACACCCACCCCTTACACCACCCTTACACCCACCCACCCTCCTTACACCCACCCCTCACACCACCCCCTTACACTCCTTGCCACCCACCCCATACCCACCCCACCCCCCCACCCCACCCCTTACACCCACCCACACCCACCCTTACACCCACCCCTTCACACCACCCTTACACCCACCCTACACCCACCCCCTTACACCCACCCTCCACCCCTTACACACCACCCCCCCACACCCACCTCTACACCACCCTTACACCCCTGCCACCCCTTTACACCCTCCTACACCCCTACACCCCTCCCACCCTTACACACATCCTACACCCCTTTCACTTACACACCCTCTTACACCCAGCTTACACCCTTTACACTATACTAATGGAGATAAAATAGATGTAATGGTTTTATATAAGAAGCAATTAGTGAAAAACCAAAACAAATTACCCATTAAACCGACCAATTTATAAACCAATTACATACATACTGCCTGTATACCTGCTTCTCTCTACAGGCAAACATTAACACTGTGCTTGTGTAAATGTAAGGTCTTAGCTCGCAAAAACATTATCTGACCTCCACGCAGACACTTTTGACAAGTGGTTCACCTCGCAGTGCTTAAGGTAAGTTGGCTGGGTCCTGTGTTTGTTTGTGTTTGTTTTTGGAGAGATGTTTTTATGTTAATGTGTTTGGATGTGTTTTTTTTTTGTTATGTATGTTTGGTTTGGGTATTTTTGGGGATTTACGTAGAAAAGCAATAATTATCATACACTCAGCCAGTATAACACCACTCCATACACCACACCCTCCATACATCACACCCTCCCATACACCAACACCCTCCGCCACACCCACCCTCCATACACCAACACCCTCCATGCTAACACCCTCCATACCACACCCTCCATACACCAACACCCTCCTTACACCACACCACCCATACACCACACACCCTCCATACACCACACCCTCCATACACCAACACCCTCCATGCACCAACACCCTCCGCACACCACACCCTCCATACACCACATCCCATACAACACACCCTCCATACCAACACCCTCCAGCCACACCACACCCTCCATACACCACCCTCCGCCACACCACCCCTCCATACACACCCACTCCCAACACCCCTCCGCCCACCCACTCCATACACCCAACACCCTCCATACACCTCCATACACCCTCCATGCCAACACCCTCCATACACCAGCACCCCTCCATACACC